GCACCCCACGTCAAGGACAGACAGTTACACAAGGCCACAAATACTAGGAGGCGTCGTGGTAGCCTCTATCAGCAACACAAAGTCTGACTTTTTTTCCAGCTGTGTTACTTAAGTTCCTGTCTCTCCTGGACAGGCAACAGAATCATCTGTGTTGATTCTGAGATTCGCGCTCCAGAGCTCTCCTTGGAGTCATGCTGAAGCTTGACGACTCCTCCTGGCCTCCTCCTTGCTTCCTGCACTTCCTTTCTATCCTCTTCCCAATAGATTAAGTACATTTGAGTTCCTATTTCAGGTTCTGTGTCTAGGATGCCAAGTAATACTTGCAGGAAACTCGTAGCACCTGTGAGCCTGATGGAGACCATGGAGGAGACAGAAAAACCAGCACCCAGTGGAGTGGAGCCCCGGGGAAGGGGTTACCTGATGGGACAGGCCATGGAGGGACTTGGCCACTGCTAAAGGCCGGGGCAGGAGTGGGAAGAAGTGTGCTCTCCTTTCTCTCCTCCCTGCCCTGGGTGTTTATCCTTTTAGTGAAGCCTAACAGGCATCTTGGTGCATCTGGGCCGCTGTAATAACACGTGCCAGATTGGGTGGCTTATAAACAACAGAAGTGTGTTTCTCACAGTTCTGCTGTCTAGAAGCCCAGGAGCCGGCAGCCACCAGAGTCAGTGAGAACCCTCTTCTGGGTCACTGGCTTCTTTTTGTGTCCTTATGCAGTGGAGGAGCCCAGGGGACGCTGTGGGATCTCGTTCAGAACAATAGTAATGCCACTCGTGAAGGCTCCACCCTCATGGCCAAATCACCCCCCAAAGACTCACATACTAATACCATCACCTTCAAGGGTTAGGATTTTAAAATTTGAATTTTGAGGGGCACACAGACATTTAGAGTGAGCTGGCAGGCAAGAGAGGTCAGTATCTTAGGTTCTCCTTAGGTCAGTAGGGAGGAGTATCAATCGGGAAGGAGGGACTACATGACCAGCCTAACAAACATTTTTCTCTTTTCTGTTCAACCATCATATTGGTATCCACTTGATCTTTATCATGTCCATTTTTCTAGCTCTAAATCTTTCAGGTATTTCCTATTGCTTAAAGAAATCATCCATAAAATTTCCAGATTATATACCTGATGAGGGTTGATCTCTGATTCCTTTATAAACTATTTGAGTTTACTATCAACTAATGCATACCTCAGAGTATAGGCTATGCTGTTAATGATTAAGTGCATAAATCCATTTTTCAAGACTCTTTCTTAATAATTTTAAATTATTCTAGACAGCTTTTGGCTCATGTGATTAGATTGTCACCATTGTTTTGCTACCTGCCACATGAACTTGTGAGAGATCATCTAACATGAATGAGACCTCAAACAACCCATTTAATGCGGCCGTGTGTTCTTAGGCAGAAAGTGGTATATCCAGACTGTCTAGGCTACAAAGACAGGATGCATTTTAAGGGGGTTGATAGATGTTTGATCTTAAATTAATTCTGGGAATTCTCCTATGGCTCTAGTTGGCAGCAGGGCACTGAATGATTGAAGCTTGAGTGTAGTCAGATTACAATAATAATAAGATCTCCACTTTTGCAGCACCTACTATATGCCTGGCATGGTGCTAATTTCAAATATCATTTCTTCTCCCTGCCATAGCAACTGTTGGGTGAGTATAACTCTGAGAGAACTTAAGTAACCTGCTCAAGGTCACAGTGAGTGAGTGGAGAAGCCAAGATTTCAACCCAAAACTATATGTCCCCTTGACAGAGTCCTCTTCCTTTCACACATCACCACTGAGGCACTAGGGAAGATGTTCCCTTCTGTAGGAAGACCCACGCTCTGTAGTAGGAGTTAGTGGCTTAGGAAGGCAACAGTGGAAGACGCTCATCTGAAAAAGCCACATAGAGTATGATTCCAACTATATGACATTCTGGACAAGGCAAGTCATGGAGACAGTAAAAACTATGGGAACAATGGTTGCCAAGGAGGGAGGGGAAACCAGGGAATATTTTTAGGGCAGTGGAACTACTCCGTATGGTACTATAATGATGGATGCATGTTATTATACATTCATACAAACCCATAGAAGGTACACACCAAAGCAAACCTTCATGCAGACTGTGGACTTGGGGTGATAATGAAGTGTCAAGGTAGATTCATCAGTTGCTAGAAAGGTACCACTCTAGTGAAGAATAATGGAGGGATACGCATGTGGAGAAAGGGAGCATATGTGTGTCTATAAATCTTCTTCTCAATTTTACTATGTATCTAAAACTGCTTTAAGAAATAAGGTCTTAATGAAAAATAAAAAGATGTGGGCATGGGCTTGAGCCTATAAGGATAGGAACAACTAGAAGAGATAGTAATGCTCCCAGAATGGCAGAAGAGCAGTGTGGAGTCCAAGGAACTGGTTAATGCATCAGGAAATGCAGAGCTCAGACAACATTGATTAAGGAATAAACTGTTCTTATAAAAAACTTGAATCATTCACAACACACTTCTGACACTGTCCAAACACAGAGCCAGCTTCCCACCAGTCTAATCCTTCTTTCTGGTCACTTTTCAATGTTACATTTCATATATGCTCTGTCTCCTATGTTGCTTTAATAATTGGTCTGGCCACAATCTGTAAGAGTAGAGGAACTATAATTGATTGAGCTGTGCATTTACAATGGGTACATTTTCTGTGTAAAGATGACATTTAGTTAAAAATGAAGGGAAAACTTGATTTTGCATGGAGTTGAAAGAAATCAAGGATATTGTAGCCCCCATCCTTGGTAGATCCAAACCATTCTTTACTATACATTTTATATGTGGTAAAAGTAGCACTGGATAGGAGAGAAAAAACTGGTTTTGCAGCCCCAACTCTGCCATTAGAGTAGTTGTTGAGGTAGACAAGGCACCAATCCTCAAGTTTTCTCATATGTTAGAAAAAAAATTTCCCAGAGTTCCTGTTAATGTTCAGGGTGTTAGAAAAATACCAAGGGGTAGAGATACCACTCTCATCCTTAAACTAATCCCACACATGGACCAAAACAGAAGCTCACCTTCAACCTAGCTGCCAGTTCCCCATATCTGATATTTTAGAATGGAGGTTGGAAAACAGTTTTGGAAGAGTGCCAGAGGGTAAATTCTTTAGGCCTTGCAGGCCACATGGTGTCTGGCAACTGCTCAGCTCTGCAGTTGTAGTGAAAGCAGCCACACACAGTTTGCCACTGGGTGAGCGTGCCTGTCTTCCAGTAAGGCTGTATTCGCCATGGCAGTTGGCAAGCCAGATTTGACACACAGGCCAGCATTTGTCCACATGTTCTGGCACATGACTGTTTGGTATTCAGTGCAATTTCCAGTGTAATTTTCCTTCAGCATATATAAGGGATAACATATGTTTGTGATATTAGATAAGTAGGGCATGGAGGGTTGGAATGTGACAGAAAGAAGGAAAGGGGAAGAAGACTGAAGAGCATAGAGCTTTGTGAGAGAGCATGAGGAGAGAAAATTCCAGTGACATCTGCCATAGGGCAAGGCATTGTCAGATTGGAAAAGACTGGCCTTTAGCATGAAGCTAACAGCTGTGTTTGGAGAGACAGGCTGTGTGTATGTATAGTGTTGACACACAGCCATCACCTTGTGAAAGAGATAGCTTGGGCACTTGAACCTAAGTGAATCTCAAGGAGAATTTGTGGGGGAAGTAAAGGAGGAGAGGAATTAGCCTCATTTTATGGATGAAGAATTTCCCCTCTGGGGCACCAGTGCTGCTAAGGCTGAGGAGGTCAGAGCTGTTTGCCCTGTGGAATCCACAAGGAAACAGAATTCTTGGAGAAGGATATTAAATTTTGCCTCTAGGAGAACTTTCCAGCATCCTTACAGTCCAGTCCTCCTCCTTAGAAAGGGTCTCTGCTGGTGTCTGGAGGACCCTCTAGTCTGGTGCCTGAGCAGTGTGTGAGGGTTACCACGGGGAGCTGAAAGGGGGGCTGCAGGCCCCCTTTTCTTGCAGTTGGTGTTTTTTTTTTTAAGATTATTTAGTTATTCATTCATTCATTCATTCATTCATTCATTCATTCATTCATTCATACAAGCACTGGGTACAGTCAGAAGCGTGGGAGGGTGAGAGAATTCACCAGAGCCAGAGCAGGGAACAGAACAGGCAGACTGACGAAGTACACTGCTGAGGGGAGCAGCGGGCAGCAGAAGAGGTCTGTGCGCCATGTGGGACCCTCACCTGGCTGCCGGGGATCGAACCGGCGCTGCAGAGGCTGCAGGTAGCTTCGCAGCCCAGCGCTCAATGGCTGCGCCACCAGGGGAGGCCCTTGCAGTTAGTGTTTTTATTAGGTCAGAGGCAGAGGTGTTGTGCTCTTCCGCTCCCACCCTCTCCCCCTTTCTTTCCATTTTTGATTCTGAATTCTGATGTGGCAGGTAGGAGCAGGGAAGGGAAAGGCAAGAATGGACCGGGGGTGGGGGGGAAATCACTTCGTGGTTTCACTTGGAGCTGATGGCATCTTGAAAAGGTGGTCCAGGCTTCAGAGAAGGGACATTTAAATTGTCTCTTCAGGTAGGACAGTATATTCTGTGTCATCATATAGAAGGAAAAAGAGAGCTGGATTTTTAGAAAATCTCAGAAACTTGGGATATGATTAAATTGATTAACCAACAAATCTGTAAAATTTCATACAAATCATGTACTTAATATAGAACTGGATTACTGTTTGCAGTCTATTGCACTAATTCATTAATTTTATTTCACAGACTAAAGTTTTTACTATGCAAATATATGCAAATCTATAGGAAAATAGTGTTTTTAGCCAAGTGCACCAACACTTGTTGGGTTTCTTTTTTTGTTTTTGGTTTGTTTTACTGGAACTGTGCCACTGGGGTGGAAAGTGAGATAACAAATACATTCAATATTTGAAACTGTGACTGAACAATTTTCTAAGGGGTGGTTGGGAGGCTTTCTCCTTTGAGAAATTTCGTAGTGATTGGCATGTCCTTTTTCCTCTTTTTCTTGCCTAAAACAGAATGAAGAAGATGAGTAACATTTATGAGTCAGCTGCCAATACACTGGGGATCTTTAACAGTCCCTGCCTGACCAAAGTGGAGCTGCGTGTGGCGTGCAAAGGCATTTCCGACAGAGACGCCCTTTCCAAGCCAGACCCCTGTGTCATCCTCAAGATGCAGTCCCACGGGCAGTGGTTTGAGGTAGGCGTGTGCAATGAAATGGACACAAGCATGGCTGGAGTGTTGGTCTGAAAATGTTTGGGAATGTCCCATCTTTAGGTGGTTTATTTTGATGAGGTGGAAACTTCTAGAAATGAATATGTTCACGTTTCTGCTTATACCATGGTGTTTTGCTGTGGCTGTTTTAATGCTGTGGATATTTTGACATTTTTAATTTGTGAGTCTGAAATTTATGTGGCAAGAAATCATACCCTGGGTCTCACTCTCAGCACTTTTTATTAATTACCAAGAAATACTCATGCCCAGTTGTTGACAAAGGACAGACAGCAAGAGGGTCAGGGATAGGCATAAACTCAGCCCCCAGATTGTGCTAGTGTGAGAAAGCTGATACTCCAAAAGATGGTTCCAGACAGTAAGCCTAATAGCCAATCCAGAGTGTAGATTAGAATTAATTAGGATTCAGGGGTTGGTGACTCCAAGGGACTACATTTTGGGGGATTGGGGAAGATCACTCAGGTAGAAGGAACTCAGTGGGTGGGAACCCTTCCAGTCCCACAGAACCCTGGCCACTGTGCGCACAGGAGGCCAGCTCCGGTCCTGAGAGCTAAACTGGACTACTTGTTATCAGGGGCTTGACTAGAACTGAAGAGTGGAGAACAAGACTGTGGGCCAGTCCTTGATCAAGCCCAAAACAGGTTGATAGGAGGGGAGCTGAGTTCTAGAAACAGTGTCTGTCCAGTAGCTAGGAGTCCAAGAGAGTCACATGGGATCCCAGTACATGGTAATGGAGCCGAGGGACCGAGAGGGTGTTCATTCCAAACCTCAAGGGTGGACAGGGCTTAGCTGGAAGTACGCCCGCAGTCTGAGTTGGTTGGGGATTGCCCAAAGCTGAATCCTGCTGGTGGAGCTCATCCATAGTCTCAGTAGTAAGAAGACTTGGGTACACGTGGGGGAAGAAGAGAGACTGCAAGCTCATAATTTTAATTGACTTTGCAAAGTAGTCAGACCACTTCAAGCATCCCCACATGTGGTGTTTGAAGAATCTGCTTATGTGTAGAGTATTGTCGAACAAACCCTTCTCCCTGCGCCTGTGCGTGGCGGCTTGCTAGGTGCAGAGATTCTGTGACTCCTTCTCTGAAGACCAGCTATCTCCATGTTGTTGAGAAATGGTTTGGTATTCTTTTCTCAATTTTATTCTAGGAAAAAGTTACTCCTTTTTGTGTCTACCAAGCTGTAACCTATCACAGACCTGGAGAAAAGCAGTGGGGATTTGCAGGGGAGAGGTTGTTTTGACTGCACTGTATTTGGCCAGATGTTCCTCTGACTAATGCTCATTGTGGACATAGTGGCACCTGTGGAGGGACAAGGAGGTCTGCTGTGGAGGGGCCCAATCACACAACATTTATTTGGAGTGAGAACTTAAAATAATATTAGCTGAACTTGAGCTCGTACTTATCAACTGCTGGGCACTGTTGTAGCTTCTCTATGCAACATAATGAATTTATCCTCACATCAGCAGTGTGAGGAAACACAGATAGAGGAGCACACAGAGGCAGAAAGGCTAAGGATTTGCCCAAGATGATTCAGCTTGTATGTGGAACTTCAAATGTTTGCACCAGACAGTTGACTCTAGAGCCCAGGCTCATCATTGCTACTTGATACTAATGGTGGCTACTGGTGTAGCCTTTGGTGGTTTGTGTGGCTATATTGCAGATTGAATTCTATACTTGTGTTTTGTTTGCATATTTAAAGTTAAAACAAATTGGATGAGGACATTTTCTAAGTTGTTTGGTTTTTTGCTTTTTTGTTTTTGTTTTGTTTTTTGGTTTTGGTGTGATTTGGCTTTAGCTTAAGATCTTTTAAATGCTTTTAAAAATCTGGTTTATGCTTAATGGTGGGATGGGGAGGAGCAGTGGGTGCAGCAGAGGAAGCAGCCATAACCCTTCCAAAGGGAACCAGGCATCCAGAAGGATTTGGAAAAATGTTTGAAGCCATGCTGGGGAGAGCAGAAGTAGACAGCCACCTGCGTTGGATCCCTCAGGACAAACTCTTGGAGCCTTCACTACTTCACCCCCTATCTGCAGATATTTGGGAGTTCTTCTTTAGGGGGAACATTACTCCACTGCACAGTAGAAATAAGTTCTCAAAAGAACTAGCACATTTGCTTACCCGTACATATGTGATAAAAGCCACTTTTCTGAGAGGGAGGTTGGTTAGAGGTTGGTGAGCAGATGATACCAAATGAGGAGGCAACGTGCCCAGGGAACAAATGACAGATGGGCCATTTGCAGATCTTAGCTTCAGGCTTACACAGGGCTTATACTGAGAAGAAAGAGATAAATGACCAGCACGCAAACTTAACAACTCATAGTTAACTTGGAGAATCATTTACACAGATCTCAAGTAATGCATATTTATTTAGTGTACACATTGATTTGGGGGGAGCGAATTTTATCCTATGCTTTTAGTCCTATGCTATGAGTTAGAAGTACCTGAGAGTCTGTGAACCAGGTGACTACTACTGTTTGCATTGGGTGCCAAGAGCTAGCACCACGGACAGCGCACCGCCATGCGCTGTAGAAATGTGTGCCTTCTACATTGTGGCCTGGAATATGTCTGGGTTTACAAGAGATTTCTGTCTGAATTACAGACTTGAAAGAAAGTCCATGTTGTTGTTATCAGTTCCTCGGGTGTCTTAATTTATCTGAAATCTGTTATTTCATTAAGTGTGGAGAGAAAAGAAAACAACTAAGAGACTAAATGATTTGCATAATGAAAGATTGTTGGGGGATGTCAGAGTGAGAATAAAATAAATAAGGGGTACTTATCTTTCAGAGAGAATTTTAAAGTTTGGCAAAGGAAAGAGCTGGAAACAACCTCTCAACAGATGACTGGATAAAGAAAATGTGTGATATATACATACATACACACACACATATATACACATACAATTGAATACTACTTAACTATAAAAAAAGATGAAATCCTGTCATTTGCAACAACATGAATGGACCTGGAGGGTATTATGCTAAGTGAAATACATCAGAAGGGGAATGAAAAACACTGTATGATTTCACTAGTATGTGGTACATAGAGAAATTAAGCAAGTGAATGAACAAAATAAAAAAAACAAAAACAAAAACAAACACATACATGAGATTGTAAGACCAAATTAGTGGTTATCAGAAAGAAAGGGATAAGGGGAGCATAAACTGGGACAAAGGGTGACTTGTGTAGTGTAAGACAGAATTTCGGTTTTAGTGCTAAACATAATGTAGTTTATATATGTTGACTTATAATGGTGCACATCTGAAACCGATGTCACAATGCAGTGTTTCCTCAATTAAGAAATAGGGATGTTAGCAAGTGTTACTATAAAGTATTAAATAAATACTAATACAAAATAAACCTCGGCAGAAGAGAGGCTTTGTCTAGATCAACAACGTGCAGTGGAACCTACCACAGTAATGGCAGTGTTCCCTGTCCTGTCCAGTGAGTGAGGGGCTAGCCACTTGTGGCTACTGCGCACTTACAAGATGGATAGTATAACTGAGGGACTGAAATTTTTAATTATTTAATTTTATTTCATGTAAGGGTATATGATAACAACTAGGGAAATTCCAGAATATTTTTGGTGTAGTAGAGAATTTGACTGGATTGGAAAGAAGAGGAAAAGGGAGCTTGTAAAAAAAAAAAAGTTACGGTAGGCTATTCATTTTGCCTTATGGTGGGGTAGGGGTGGGAAGCTGTAACTAGAGTTTGACATTTTATTATTACTGTGATTCTGGATTGTGCTTTTTTAAATGGAATTCCAGCAGCATGAGGACCCGTCACAACTTCCGGTTACCACCACAACAGTTATAACTTCCTTCAGATGACCTGCCCATCTTGAGGTTATACTGTTGTTCTTCCAATTGGCTGTAGATCTCTAAATTGGTTCATAAAAATGTAAGCCTGATTTTTAGACTCAAAGAAGTATTACCATCTAACCTTCCATGCTGCTATGCTATTAGGCATCAATAAAGATAAATTGCATTTCTTTGAGATATTGGGAATCATTATTCTGACCTAACAATAGATTGTTGCTTTTTGCAGACAAGCAGGATTTGGGATATATGTGTAAGGACTGAGAAGAAAGAGGGTGATTTTTGTTTTTTGTTTCCCCCAGAACCTAGAGCTGGGAGTGTATTTTTATTAGGTGAAACTTTCAGTAAATCTGTATTGGGTATGATTGTAACTGTCAGAAAGGAAGCAAGACAAAACTTGTAACTTAGAAATACATTCCAAACTGAGAGCTTCAGACCTACTATTTAGTTTCCCTGATTGAGAATTATGCTTCTTTTTAAAAAAATTTCCCCGGCACCTACTCCTGGCCATCTAATGATGATGGTATATGGTGCAGGTCAGTGCAATGATAATCTAGAGCACATTTCATCTTCCAATGAAGAGTGGAAATAATTTCCTCTTGTCTGTGGTACTGATGTATATGCTAGCTGTCGGAACTAAACATCATATCCAAGTGGGATAAATTAACACTTCTCAGGGATTCAAAAGGCAAGGGCCCTTGTGAATGAAAGACTTGTGTTTCGTTTCCTGCAACATATGTTCTATTCCCTGGGCATGTTGGATGTTCTCTGCGAAGCAGAACTAAGCTCATGATGTTATACCCTTTGGCAGAGATCCTATAAATGGCAGAGTACTTGTTTTCATTGAAAAAAACTGAATTATTTCTATGAATTATTTCTATGAGGATGTTGCTCCATCATCTTTTAATTCCATTTTCCATTCAATTTTAATACCATTATTTAGCTCCTCCATGAGAAGCTCTAAATAGTTCTGAAGATTAATTACCCTTGGGTCAATTCCATATGAAGATATGTTATGGTGAGTCATAGGCATTTGTGGGTTGTTAGTAATAACATCAGTTGTAATAATTAGTGTAGCTATAGCTAACGCATCAGTTATCACTGGACTCTAATGAAACATTATTGTTTATAATAATCATATATTCATGTAACATT